AGACGCTGTGTGTGGTGGGTTTCGAAGCTGTGAAAGTCTCAGCTTCTCCATAAACACCTTTTAGATCTCCCCAACCCCTCCGCTTTCTTCACTGTTCATGACTCATTTACCCCCTATATATATATATATATATATATATATATACTCTGAGAGACAGTCAGATTCATCATTTGAAAAAGCTAAAATTGTGATTCCTAAATGATGTTGTGGTCACCCCAGTTTGTTACACAATGCCAACGCAAACCTTTATAGTTTAATATAGCTGCAAGCAGCAATTACCAGGGTTCAAGCATGTTAAGACCATCAAGCAATTATATACATTTTAAAATGATTTTACCCAAAAAGACTGAAAAATAATAAATAAAAACACTCGAAAAACTATTTAATGTTTTTTTACTTTTGAACAGTAGGTGGCGCTGCTCCCAAATTAATGTGGTGTGGTTAACTAGGTGTGACGATGACACACACATAGTTTGGTGCCAATATGACAAAGAATTGCAGGAACAGCCATAGATCTTTAGAGCCTTTTGCCATTTTTCATATCTTCTGACCACTAGGTGGCACTGTGCTGAAACTGTGCAGGTAACCTCAGGACATGGTTGTCATTACAAACTCCAAGTTTGGTCTGAACACGATAAAGCATTGAGGAGATATAGCCTCATGTTCACTTTGGCGAGCTCTTTGTCAAGTTCATTTGTGCGTTATTCAAAAACGGTTCAAAAAGCTTTTGATAACTTTTTGTTAGGACCATCTGAAGATGGCCTGTATCAGTTTTGGTGAAAACCAGACAAACCGTCTAGGACAAGTTAAAAAAGTAGCTTTTTTACATAATGTCAAATATTTAACGAATGGTTTGATTGACAGCAGTGGTTCTAGAGACAAAGTTGTTCAGAATGAGCAAATCTAACATATGATATGAATATTGTGTGTACATGTGAAACACTTTGTGATATACGAGGCGTAAAACCTGATAATGCCACAGATTTCTTTCAAATTTCTCACAGACCTCTAGGGCCATGAGTCAAACGGCCCCATCGGGTTTCGTCATGATCGGCCTCCGTTGACCTGGTCTAATGGGTGCTCAAATTAATTGGCAGATGGTGGCCATTTTTTTCGAGATACGCATAGACATGGATGGCACCTTGGATAAAGACACTGTGGGCCAAATTTCAAGTCAGTTGGACTAACGGTTGCATAGTTACAGCCATTTTCATGTTTTTTTTCCTTTTATAGTGCCACCAAGTGGTCAAACTTCCCAATTCTTTTAATTTGATGAAAGATTGAACTCATTCATATGTGTTCTGAGTTTAGTGAAAATATCTCATTCCGTTCAAAAGTTTTTTGTGCGTTTCTCCTGTGAAACACAAAAGGAGATGTTTTGAAAGTCAGTTTGGTCCAAACGACATTGAACATAAGGTTAATATTTTTGTTATTTCAAATAAAGCTGAAATAAAATATAAATATTAGATGTAACACTTGTACTAAAACTAAAAAAAAATTTGAAAACTTAAATTTAATAAAAATTTGAATTTGAAAAATTTGCATGGGCAACTAACTAAATAAGGTTAAGTTGAAAAACTAAAATTATTGACTGGAAATAAATAAAAATTTAAACTGAACTAAAACTGAAACAAATTAAACCTATATAATAATATTTGGGGGGGGAAACATGATAAACATTACAAAAGCACAAGCACAATTGATCATAACATGCTGTTACCCTGCCTTTCTGCTCAGGGTCATCCTGAAAAGGAACCCCATATTGGAATATGTTACCACTGTACTAAGCGAACACAAATAATTTTAAAATCAAAGGACTATAACCATAGTCTGACCAGTGTTACCAGATTGGGTGGGTGGGTGGGTGGTTTTTAATTTGATTGTGCGGGTAAAAATTAGTTTGAGTGGGTGGACAGGATTTGGGCTGCTATGGGGTCAGTTTGGCAGTTTTCAAACATCTAACTTGTATAGGCTAATTGGTTAACAAACAAAACCCAAGTGTGAATGTTAGGGATGCACCGATACCACTTTTTCCAGCACTCGCCTGATACCGATATTTTTATTTTTGGTACTTGCCGATACCGAGTACCAATACCAATATTTTTATTGCATTTGTACATTTTTTAAATATTGGGTACAGAAACCCAAAGGGTATGTATAATGTTAGTTGGTTAACTTAATTTATCAAATAGATAAAGTCAAACCAAAATTTATTCATGACAGCCTGTAGTCTCCTGGGCATGCTGTCACCCAGCTTCATGCAAACCTCAACTTCAATGTTTTTTTGTAGTATCGGTATCGGTGCATCCCTAGTGAATGTACTGCATCCAATCAGTCATCATGATGTTACTAACTCACATGGCCAGTCACTAAGGATCATCTGGCAGACGTGATGATTCATGAGTGACATGTTTTTAGTGTGATAAGGGATCAGATTTTGAATGTATCATTGTGGATCACAATGCCAGAGTAGCCTAAAGTTACAGTAAAAGTTACACAGTAAAGAGTGGGAGAGTGATTCCACTCTCAAAACGTGAATTATACCTGTGGAGGGAGATGACATGAAATCAGAGCACGGCCGAATAATTTAATCAAAATTGAAACTGAACATGGGACTATACGATCCGAAGACTGGAATATCTTTGAAAGGATTTTTTGGACTTGATTAGTTTTGACTGCAAAGTTCTGTATTATGTTCTACGATATGTACTTCACAAAAGACTTCCTCTAGTTCTGTCTGAAGTTAAAGTGCGACACGAAGGTAAGCGCGTTATTTTTGTTGTTAATTTTTTATTGTCGGCTTATCGGACAGTATGTATCAATGAAAGACACAGTTTTGAGTGTCATGGTGTGTGCATGAATAAGTGTGAAATACCTGCTAATTCCGATCACTTATATTGGGCACTTTTTGCATTTAAATTGGCCTATTCTGACTGTTGACATTGAAAAGTGTTGACAGTTTTTTCAAGGGTATCGGTTAATTTCTTGATTGTCATTTTGAAATAGTGTCTGCCTGCATATTTTAGTCATATTTGATAACCCTCTTTAATGCATTGGCCCTGATTTGATCCGTTTTCCTGGGAAATTTATCTATTTTTTTTATTATTGTGTCATCATTGTTTTGTTTTAAGAAGTTAAAAATGGTCCTTATCAACCTTGATTGACATGGCAATAACATTCTATCACACTATTTTGACAGTTGGGCGTTTTTTGTTGGACTGGGTGGGTTTTGGTGAGTTTTTGTCCTGTGCACTGTAATTAAAGCAGCCAGGTTGTTCTGCAAGTAGACCATGCAGGGGTCTGGGTAACTCAATATAGAAAAGCTACTCCCTTATCCAGCCCCACATGCATGCTGTGCCTCTTAATAATTTCTGATCATGAATCATATCTGTTCATGACAAGCTGTGCTTAAAGTGAAAATGACTTGTAGTTCCACTGCGGAGGAGAAGTATGAGGAAGCCTTCAAGGCACTTGCTACTGCACCGGAGGCGTCAGGTAGAGCTTGTTGTAGGAGTTTCAGTTTTAGATTTTCTTTCAGTCTAATTGCAGCTGGGTCAAATGCTGGCCTCAGGGGTGTGCTGAAATCTTCAGAGTTTGGACATTTAATGGATTTTGTCCAAGAGTTTACAAACAATAAATTGTTTGACTGTGCATTGTTGTTGCTTTTTGACTTGATAAGCCTTATAAAACATAATGTGGTGGTACCATGGTACAGTGATGTTATCAGATGTGTGGTACTTGCGAAGTTTGTGGTTTTAAGTTTTTTTTGTTTTTGTTTTTATGTTTCTGAAAGACGTCTCTTATGCTTACTAAGACTGCATTTACTTGATCAAAATACAGTAAACTGCAATATTGTAAAATATTATAACATTACTCCAGTCTCCAGTGTCACAAGATCCTTCAGAAATCATTCTAATATGCTGATTTGGTGTTCAATAAACATTTCTTATTATTGTCATTGTTGAAAACTGCTGTGCTGCTTAGCATTATATACAGTATATTATATATCTTTACAATTCTTATATCTTATAAATCTATAAAAAATTTGGGTGAATAGAAAGTTTAAAAGAACATAATTTATTTGAAAAATAAATCTTTTGAAACATTATCAGTCCTTGCTGAATAAAAGTATTAATTTATTTTTTTAAATCTTACTGACCCCAGACTTGTAATGTGTGTGTGCACATTTTATATATATATATATATATATATATATATTATATATGAAAAAAAAAAAAACATGGTAAAACCTTTTTGCCAGTGAATCTGTCAGCACTTATTGAATGTGTTTGCTGTATAGCACAACCTATAACACACACTTTAACTGTGCCAAATAATTCTCCCAATTTAGATGTTTCCCTTCATATCAGACTTGTTAGCAGCGGACAGTTATAATACTGCCTTTGAAATACACAGGCTTCAGAATCCAGAAGAATAATGGTTTAATATCCATTTATCTGGGCACTATAGTCTATAATACTGGCTGAAATTTGTCCTGAGTGAGTGTTTACTGTGCAGAATTGTGATAAATGGATGGGTTTTAGCAGCTAGTGTGATCTAATGCTTTCGCTGTGAAGGGTGCTGTAGTGCAAATTGAGAGCTCTGAATGATAAAGATAGTCAAAAGAGGCTTCGTCCAACACCACAGATGACAGGGACTCTGTGTGACTGACTGTGGGGGAACATTTCTCCACCGCAAGGGCTGGTGAACACATGGCTAAATGTGTGCATGCAATACTTCCGCCTAATAATTAGACATCCGAATATAAAATTATTATCTATTCTTTGAAAACAGGCACATTGTTCCATTTAGCAGAAGCATTGTCAGGGGCTTTGTCATGAAAAATACCCCATTGATACAGCCGGGAAGTAGTTCTTCTAGGTTCAGTCCTTTTGTGCAACTCCCAGTTGTTTGTTTTACATCTTGAGTCCATTAACAGCTTGCTAATAAAGCTTGTTTTTGATAAAGAGCTCAAACTGATTTACATATCTGTTTTGCAGGAGACAAAAGAGCTTGTGGCCATTAAGAAGTTCAAGGACAGCGAAGGTAAAAGACTGTTACAACCAAATGCTTGCTTTTTTCATCCATGCAATTTACTGGTTGGAGACTTTGAAATGAACTACAATACTATTGTGGTTACCATGACACAAAGTAATTCACATTATTAATCACAGACTCCAAGGCTCTGTTTGGATAGTTATTAGGTATATACACTTTACCCAAGGATTGAAAAATGAGTAATGGTCAGCAAAATGATTTTGTATTAGGGCTGTATGATAAATTGCATGCGATTGTCATGCGCATCTCGTCAGTAAAGCCGGTTCTGTGATTAGTAGTAAATCTCCATCACGTGCTTTCAGATGGAGCGATTATGAACGTGCAGCCCTATTGTGGATTAAGTTTGCTGTTTAAAAAAATTGGGACATGTGAATATATTTTTTAACCTGATTTGTGTGATTTTCATTTTCCAACAATAAACATCAAAATTATATGGACAAAGTTTATGAAATATACAATTAAATTGAATAAAATATTTAGTTTTTAAAAAATTAAATAAAAAATAACTGCAAGCAGCAATTAAGGGGCCAAGCACAACAGAGGCAAAATGAGAAGCTAAGCATGGCATGGAGCATCAGATCAACTGCAACAATGAGTAAAGAAAGCCATTTTAGGATGATTTTAGTCAAAATGGCTGAAAAATCATAAATATAATCACTAGTAATATAATTTATTGGTTTATCACTTTTCACCAATAGTTGGCACTATTATCAGATTTTCATGGTGTGGTCAGTGTGAGGTTACAGTACAGTACAGTAATAACTTTTTGTCGGCAAGGACCCGAAGATGAAGATGAAATTTGGGGAAAATCAGACCAAAGGTCTAGAAGGAGTTCGAAAAAATAAGTTTGGCCGATTATGGCATAATTGGTATTGATGTTCTCAGTATGATCCAAGGAATCTATCAAGACAAGTCTCATGACAATAGAACAAAATCTTCTAACGCTATTAGCATTTCTGAAATGTAATTATAATTTTTGACCACAAAGTGTCGCTGTGGTCCAACCTTTTAAGTACCTTCAGGGCATCGTGCCAAAGACACTTACCAAGTTACGTAGCGATATGTCAGTACATTCATAAAATATACTATTTTTCAGCAAAAGTTCAAAATGGCCGACACGGGAAAATTGTGTATCGTTCGACTCCGTATGCTGCTCTGAATCTAAATAGAAAAGTCTTGTGATTTCTGGCAAAAGTGTTCAGAAGTTACAAGCAAAAATGACCATCTATCATATCTCCAGACCACTAGGTGGCGCTGTGGTGAAACTGTGTAAGTAGCCTCAGGTCATGATTATTATAACACACATAACATAACATAAACATTTTTGATAATTATTGATATTCACTCTTTAGAGAATATTTCTGCTCTGGTTTGGTTTCGATCGGGCGAAAAACCTAGGACTAGTCCACAAAAGTAGGTTTTAGATCAAATTCAAAATAGCGGAAATATTTGCATACCGGAAATCAGCCATTTTGTTTGTTTTGAGCTGTAGCGCCCCCGATAGGCAGATTGGAGTGAGTCTTTGGATCGGAATAGTGAACAATACTACTAGCATCTGACCAAGTTTCAGTTCTCTAGGCCTTACGTTTATGCGGTATATGAAAACGGTTTTGTCTATCGACATGAAATCTATAACTATTTGCCAGCATGGCCTGAACAAGATCTGATTCGAATTTGGCGAAAATCGGACCAATGGTCTAGGAGGAGTTCAAAAAAGTAGGCTTTCACAGAAAACCTAAATGGCGGACAGGAAGCTTGGCCAACTATGGCAATATTGTTATCTATGTTCTTGGTGTCACCCAAGGAATCTATTAAGACCCGTCTCATGACAATAGGCTGAATCAATCAAAAGCTATAACCATTGTTTAAAAATGTGATTATAACTAAGTTAGTCTTGTTTCTTGAGTTAGTCAAGTTATCTTGAAATCTTTTGAGAACCTTCAGGCATGGTGCTGATGACAAATACAGTTTCGTAATGGTACACCAATGCATTCATAAAATATTGCATTTTATATCAGAACACTGTATTGTAGTTAATGGCAATTTAATGTTTTGTTCAATTATAGTGCCGCCAAGAGCCACAGTTCCACCACATTTTTTGTGTCCTCAGAGTGCGTCCATACATATTGTATGTGTGTCAACTTTGGTGAAAATATCTCATTTCGTTTTGGAGTTATAGACACATATCTATGAGAACAAAAAAAATCAAATTTCTGACTTTGACTTCTGAAATTTTGTCGTTTGGGCACTTCTATATAGCCAACGACCTATATTTCTGAATTTCCTACAGTGGTTTTGAATATATTTGCAAAAGTTGTTTAAAGGCTAAATCACAATGCTGCACAAACCATAAGGGGAAACCCATCATATTTGTGATATAGGCCACTTTGGACTTTGGACAGTTGGTGGCGCTAGAGGGATTGAGTTAGAGACTCCAAATTTTCTATGGTGATTGCTATAGATAGATCAGACTGTCCTCTATCTGTATGCCAAATTTTATAACTTTCCCGCAAGCGGTTCTATGGGCTGCCGTAGACTTCCAAAATGGAAGAAGAAGAAGAATAAGAATGCCAAAGGATACAATAGGTGCCTATGCACCTTTGGTGCTTGGCCCCTAAATAAAATAACAGTTGCTAACAGAGATTAATGGTTGAGCTTTCAAGAAAATGGCATGAGATTGACTTTCCATCATACTATAGAAAGGATCCAAATGATGTCATCATGTTAGATACATTTGTAGCTTCTTTTCAATTTTGATGATAGATGGTTGATATTTTAGAGATTCACAACAAAAAGACGTGATTTACACCTATAATACTTTAAAAAGGTTTGTGAGAAGTGCCTTATATAATGTCATTTTACTTTGAGAGCTCCATAACACATTAATTTTACTCAAGAAAACACAAGCCCCCTTTCAATCTTGCCTAACCCCCTGTGTGTTCCCACAGAGAATGAGGAAGTTAAAGAGACGACGTTACGAGAGCTCAAGATGCTCCGTACCCTGAAGCAAGACAACATCGTAGAACTGAAGGAGGCTTTCCGTCGACGGGGAAAACTCTATCTAGTGTTTGAATATGTGGAGAAGGTCAGCTCAAAACACTTCTTTTACTTTCTTATTCATTTGTACTGGTCTGAATTGTAGTTGAGATGACATGTTGATAGTGTCTTGCTTGTGTTTTGCTGTATTTTTCAGAATATGCTTGAGTTGTTGGAGGAATTGCCTAATGGTCCGCCACCTGATAAAGTACGAAGCTACATCTTTCAGCTGATCAAAGCTATTCACTGGTGCCATAAAAATGAGATCGTTCACAGGGGTATGACAAACTCTGTGATGTTTATAGATTGCAATCTTAATTTATTTGACTATCTATCTATCTATCTATCTGTCTATCTGTCTGTCTGTCTGTCTGTCTTTGTCTGTCTGTCTCTGTCTGTCTGTCTGTTTCTGTCTGTCTGTCTGTATATATATGTGTACGTAGATAGGTATGCAACACTGAAGACTAGTAATAGTTACCGATAATTCAGACAATTCATATATATATATATATATATATATATATATATATATATATATATGTGTGTGTGTGTGTGTGTGTGTGTGTCTATTTTATTGAATGTTAGGGTTAGGTTAGGGTTAGATTAATCTAGGGTTAGATTAATAGTTTTAAAACTGAATATGATTGTATTTTAATTAAGTATTTAAGGTAGTTGTGATTTAACAGTAATTAGAATCAACTTTGATAACATCTGTGATGTATTGTATCTATTTTTATGCAATTTCAATCCACATTTCTTATTAATTGATTGTGTAATCTTTGTGTACAAAATTGAGTCTTCAACACAAATTGAGCTCACTAAGTAAATATCCATCCCTTTTTATCTAATTTGCAGATATCAAGCCTGAAAATCTCCTAATAAGCTCCAATGATATCCTGAAGCTGTGTGATTTTGGTGAGCAAAGGCTTTCACTCGTCTGATTCAGGACCCTCCACCCCCATATTCACTCTGATCTCTCTCGCTGAATGCTTGGTCTCCTTTCCAGGCGTCATGAGTCTCGCAGTGACGTCTGAAAACAAAACAAAACATTTGCTGAAATTGGATTTGAGTGGAAGGGAATTAAACTGTTTTTGTCCTAATCACACTGTTGCAAAGATTTGAGTGACAGCGCTTATTCTCTGGAATGCAAATTTTGAGTTGATTTTGGGTCATTCCAAATAAATTCCAAATAAAAAAGAAGACTGCTGAACTATCACAGAAAATGACTTCATTAGCTGTGTTGGGGAGTAACTTACTCAAAGTAGCAAGTCTACTATAATTTTCATTTTTCATTATAGCGTGACAGTACTTCAGTGTTTTTAGTAACTATTTTACAATTAGTAGTGTAGTTTTGTGCGACAACCCAACATCTCTATTTATAATGCTTGCACAACATTGTCTAGTTTTTTTTTGGGGGGGGGGGGGGAACATTTTATTGGTAGTTTT